TGGCTGCATAATATTCCATGGTATACACCATATTTTATTTATCCATTCATTCATCAAAGGATATTTAGGTTGTCTCTATACTTTGGCTACTGTGAATAATGCTGCAGTGAACATGGAAATGTAGCTATCTCGTCAAGATGCTAATTTCATTTCCTTTGGATATATATCCAAAAGCAGGATTGCTGGATCATATGGTAGTTCTATTTTTAAATTTTTAGGAACCTTCACACTGTTTTCCATAATGGCTGTATTAATATATCCTCACCAACACTTGCCTTTTCTCTTTTTGATAGTAGCCATTCATTCTAACAGGTGTGAGGTGATATCTCATTGTGGTTTTGATTTTTCTTTCTTTGATTAGAGATATTGAAAATCATTTCATATACCTATTAGCAACTTGAATTTTTTCTCTTGAGAAGTGAGTATTTAGGTCCTTTGCCCACTTTTTAATTGGCTTATTTGTGTTTTTGGCATTGACCTATATGGGTTCCTTATATACTTTGGATATTAATCCCTTATTGGATATATAGTTTGCAAATTTTTTCTCTCATTCTGTATGTTGCCTTTGCATTTTGTTGATGGTTTCCTTTGCTGTGCAAAAGATTTTTAGTTTGATGAAGCCCTACTTGTCTATTTTTCTTTTGTTGCCTGTGCTTTTGCTGTCATATCAAAAAATCATTGCCAAGACCAATGTCAAAAAGATTTTCCTCTATGTTTTCTTCTAGAGTTTTGTAGTTTCAGATCTTATGTTTAAGCAATCCATTTTGAGTTGATTTTGTATATGGTGGGAGCTAAGGGTCTGTCTTAGTCTTTTTTCCTATGCTATAACAGAATACCATAGATTGGATAATCTATAAACAATAGAAGTTTATTTGACTCATGGTTTGGAAGCTGGGAAGTCAAAGAGCATGGCACCTGCATCTGGCAATGGCCCTTGTGCTCTATCATCCCATGGCAAAAGGGCAAGAGAGAGAGAGCAAAGGGGGACTGAACTCCCACAATAACTACATACTCCATTGATAGCAGCATTAATGAATTGAAGGTGAAGCATTAATCAATGAAGATTAAGCCCTTATGTCCTAATCATCTCTTAAAGGTCCCACCTCTTAACACTGTGACAATGGCAATTAAATTTCCACATGAGGTTTGGAGGGAACATTCACATTATAGCAGGGTCCAATTTCATTTTTCTGCATGTGGATATCCAGTTTCCCCAACACCATTTGTTGAAGAGACTATCCTTTCCTCATTGTGTGTTGTTGGCACCCTTGTTGAAGATCAGTTAATCATAAATGCGTGAGTTTATTTCAGGGCCCTCTGTTCTGTTCTATTGGTCTGTATGTCTGTTTTTCTGTCACTTGCATGCTGTTTTGATTACTATAGCTGTGTAATATAATTTCAAGTCAGGAAGTATGATGCTTCTAGCTTTGTTCTTCTTGCATGATGGCTTTGGCTATTTGATGTCCCATACAAATTTTAGGATTCCTTTTTCTATTTCTGTAAAAAATAATTGGGATTTTGGTAGGAATTGCATATAATCTGTAGATTGCTTTAGCTAGTATGGACATTTTAACAATATTAATTCTGCCAGTCTGTGAACATGGAATGTCTTTCCATATGTTTGTGTCTTTTAAAATTTCCTCTATCAACATTTTAAAATTTCTAGTATACAAGTTTTTCACCTCTTTGGCTAAGTTAATTCCTAAGCATTTTATTCTTTTTGCTGCTAATATAAACGGGATTCTTTCCTTAATTTGCCTTTCAGATAGTTTGTTAGTTTATGGAAATTACATTAATTATTTTAACTTTTATTTTAGGTCCAGGAGTACATGTGCAGATTTGTTATTTAGGCAAATTTTGTGTCATGGGAATTTGGTGTACAGATTATTTTGTCGCCTAGGTAATAAGCAAAGTACCTAACAGGTAGTTTTTTGATCCTCACCTTCCTCCCACCCTCCACTTTCAAGTAGGCCCCGGTGTCTGTAGTTCCCTTCTTTGTGTCCATGTGCTTTCCATGTTTAGCTCCCACTTATAAGTGAGAACATGTGGTATTTGTTTTCTCTTCCTGCATTAGTTTGCTTAGGATAATGGCCTCCAGCTCCATTCATGTTGCTACAAAGGACATGATCTTGATTTTTGTTTTCTGTTTTTTTGAGACGGAGTCTCGCTCTGTCAGACCTAAGCTGGAGTGCAGTGGCCTGATCTAGGCTCACTGCAATCTCTGCCTCCCAGGTTCAAGCAATTCCCCTACCTCAGTCTTCCAAGTAGCTGGGATTACAGGTGCCTGCCACCATGCCCAGCTAATTTTTGCATTTTTAGTAGAGATAGGGTTTCACCACATTGGCCAGGCTAGACTTGAACTCCTGACCTCAGGTGATCCGACCCCCTCGGCCTCCCAAAGTGCTGGGATTACAGGCATGAGCCACCGTGCACAGGTGATCTTTTTCTTTTTAATGGCAGTATTCCATCATATATATATATATATGATGGAATTGTGTTAAGGTAAGCTCCTCCTAAATGTGCGCTCTCTCTCTCTCTCTCTCTCTCTCTCTCTCTCTATATATATATATATATATATATATATATATATATATATATATAGATATATATACATATATGGCACATTTTCCATGGTATGTATGTACCATATTTTCTTTACCATTGATGGGCATTTAGGTTGATTCCATGTCTTTTCTATTGTGAGTAGTGTTGCAGTGAACATATGTGAGAAACACCACTAACTTTTGCATATTGGTTTAGTATCCCATAACTTTACCAAGTTTATTTATTAGTTCTAGCAATTATTTAGGTAGAGTCTTTAGGGTTTTCTGCATATATGATCATGTCATCAGCATATAGAAATCATTATACTACTCTTCTTATTTGGATATCTTTTATTTCTTTCTCTTGCCTAACTGTTCTGGCTAAGATTTACAGTACTGTGTTGAATAGCAGGTCAAGAGTGGGCATTCTTGTCTTGTTCCAGATCTTAGAGGAAAAACTTTCAGTTTTTCTCCATTGCTTATGATGCCTGTGATGTTTTTTTATATTTGGCCTTTATTGTGTTAAGGTAAGCTCCTCCTATACTTATTTTGTTGAGGATTTTTATCATGAAGGGATGTTGAATTTTGTCAAATACTTTCTTTGTGTCTATTGAAATAATCATGTGGTTCTGTCTTCATCTTATTAATGTGGTATTTCATATTGATTGATTTGACATATTTGTATGTTGAACCATCCTTACATCCCACTTGATCATGGTGTATAATACTTTTAATGTGTTATTGAATTTGGTTTGCTAATATTTTATTAAGGGGTTTTGCATCTATGTTCATTAGGGATATTGGCCTATAGTTTTTTTTACTTGTGATGTCTTGTCTAGCTCATGATATCAGGGTGATGCTGGCCTTATAAAATAAATTTAGAGGTATTCCCTCTTCCATTTTTTGGAAGAGTTTAATAAATATTTGTATTAATTATTCTTTGTGTGTTTTGTAGAATTTTCTAGAAGCTGTCTGGTCCTAGGCTTTTCTTTGTTGGAAGCTTTTTGATTACTGATCCAATCTCTTTGTTTCTTATTGGTCTGTTCAGACTTTCTATTTCTTCTTGATTCAATCTTGGTAAGTTGTGTGTTTCTAGCAATTTATTCATTGTTTCTAGGTTATTCAATAAGTTGTTCATAATAGTCTCCTATGATCCATTTTCTGCATCATCCACTGTAATGTCTCCACTATCATTTCTGATGTTCTTTTTCCTTTCTCTTTTTTTCGACAGTGTCCACCTAGAGATACATTTCTGATTCTATTAATTTGTGTTCTCTTTTTTTTCTCAGTATAAGTTTGTTAATTTTACCTTATTGACTGCCAGTTTCATTCCACTGCTGTCTGAGATGACACTTGGTATGATTTCAATGTTCTTAAATTTGCTAAGACTCATTTTGTGACCTAACATGATCTATCCTGCAGAACATTTCATGTGCACTAAAGAAGAATATGTATTCTTCTGCTGTTGAGTAGAGAATTCTTTATATGTCTGTTAGGTCCATTTAGCCTATAGTGTTGTTCAAGGAAGCTGTTTTTTAATTGATTTCCTGCCTGGATGGTCTATCTATTATTAAAAGTGGGGTATTGAAGTTTCCTACTATTGTATTGCTGTTGATGCCTCCCTTCAGATCTGCCTATATTCGTTTTATATATTTAGGTGCTCTCATGTTGGGTGCATATATATTTTTAATTATTATATTTTCCTGAATAATTGATTCTTTTATCATTACATAATGACCTTGTTTGTCTCTAGTGACAGTTTTTTACTTAAAGTCTACTTTGTCTGTATAAGTATAGCCACCCTTGGCTGGCCATGGTGGCTCACGCTGTAATCCCAGCACTTTGGGATGCCAAAGCAGGTGGATCACAATGTCAGGAGATTGAGGCCATCCTGGCCAACATAGTGAAACCCCGTGTCTACTAAAATACAAAAAATTGGCTGGACGTGGTGGCACACACCTGTAGTCCCAGCTACTTGGAAGGTTGAGACAGGGGAGTCGCTTGAACCCGGGAGGTGGAGGTTGCAGTGAGCCGAGATTGCACTACTGCACTCCAGCCTGGATGACAGAGCGAGACTCCATCTCAAAAATATGTATATATATATATGTAGCCACTTTGTTCTATTTTGGTTATGATTTGTATGGAATATCTTTTTTTCTCATTCCTTCACTTTAAGCCTATGCATGTCTTTATATCTAACGTCAGTGTCTTGAAAATAGCATATCACTGCATCTTGTTTCTTATTCATTCAGCCACTTTATGCCTTTTGATTGGAGAGTTTAATTAGTTAACATTTAAAATAATTATTGACATATAAGGACTTTCTATTGCTATTTTATTGTTTTTTTATCTGTTTTGCAGTTTTCATTTCTCTCTTGCTGTCATCTTTTGTTATTTGATTTTTTTTGTAGTTTATCATCTATTGATAGAACCACTTACAGCAATCTCCACGTAATTTGTCTCCCTGCCTCTGTAATTGCACTTCTTCAATTCTATTGCAAATTTATTTAAGCCAGTTTAGCTTCTCACAACATCAGGTACTTTTCAGTGATATCAGTAGCTTCTAATGACTCAAGATAGCCGTGGAATTTAGTCCTTCCTCATCTCCCACAATCTCCCAACAATCAATCATGCATTTTTTAGCACTTAGACATAGTCTTGAAACCTGTCTTCATAAGCTCCATTAAACTCCATGTAAGAACAGTTCACTTGAAGCACATGCAGCAGTTCTCCAGTAGTAGCATTTTAGCTAACTGTCTGGCCAGACCAGGTGATGGAATCTTTCATTAAGGGTCAGGCTCTAGGAGCTAGTAGATTCCTAGAACTAAGATGCCACTCTGGGATAACCAGTTTTTTAGGTTTCATTCATGTGTGGGTAGAGAGAAGTGTCCATCCATGTATCTAGAAAGCCATTTAATTAATTAATTACTTTTTTATACTTTAAGTTCTGGGATACATGTGCAGAACGTACAGGTTTGTTACATAGGTATATGTGTGCCATGGTGGTTTGCTGCATCCATCACCTTATCATCTACATTAGGTATGCTATCCCTCCCCTAGCCCCGACCCCCCGACAGGCGTCGGTATATGATGTTTCCCTCCCTGTGTCTGTGTGTTCTTAGTGTTCAGTTCCCACTTATGAGTGAGAACATGTGGTAGAACACCATTTATTTCATGAATGAATGACTCTTTTATGTTAATGAGCAAACTGTAGGTTTAGGTAGATTGGTTGCATTTTTTTAGTAGCTACCTCCGGAGTATGGACTCACAATTAGTGTCTTTATATGTAAACTAAGTGCTGCTGGAATGTGTTCTTCATTGGGGGTACTTCAGATATTAACTGCCCCTGGAGTATATGTATATCTACATGTACATGTGTATAAGTATATGTGTATCTCACACTGTCTCTGGCGAGTTTTTTGTTTTTTTGTTTTTTAGGGGGCAGAGACTTGCTCTGTTGCCCAAGCTGGAGTGCAGTGGCACGATCTCAGCTCACTGCAACCTCCATCTCCCGGGTTCAAGTAATTCTCCTGCCTCAGCCTCCCAAGTAGCTGGGACTACAGGCATGTGCCAACACGCCCAGCTAATTTTTTGTGTTTTTAGTAGAGATGGGGTTTCACTGTGTTAGCCAAGATGGTCTTGATCTCCTGACCTTGTGATCCGCCTGCCTCGGCCTCCCAAAGTGCTGAGATTACAGATGTGAGCCACCGTGCCTGGCCTGAGTATTTTTAAGTAAATTGTAGACTGTATAACAAGTCGCTCTTTCCCTAAGCGGCCTGAAGTAATCTGTGAAAATGGTTCGCTATTCACTTGATCCGGAGAACCCCACAAAGTCATGCAAATCAAGAGGTTCCAATCTTCGTGTTCACTTTAAGAACACACGTGAAACTGCCCAGGCCATCAAAGGTATGCATATACGAAAAGCCACGAAGTATCTGAAAGATGTCACTTTACAGAAACAGTATGTACCATTCCGACGTTACAATGGTGGAGTAGGCAGGCCCAGGCCAAGCAGTGGGGCTGGACACAAGGTCGGTGGCCCAAAAAGAGTGCTGAATTTTTGCTGCACATGCTTAAAAATGCAGAGAGTAATGCTGAACTTAAGGGTTTGGATGTAGATTCTCTAGTCATTGAGCATATCCAAGTGAACAAAGCACCCAAGATGCACCACTGGACCTACAGAGCTCACGGTCGAATTAACCCATACATGAGTTCTCTCTGCCACGTTGAGATGATCCTTACTGAAAAGGAACAGATTGTCCCTAAACCAGAAGAGGAGGTTGCCCAGAAGAAGAAGATATCCCAGAAGAAACTGAAGAAACAAAAACTTATGGCACAGGAGTAAATTCAGCCTTAAAATAAATGCAACTAAAACGAAAAAAAAAAAAAAAAACAAGTCTACCCTCCCATATATATCCGTCTACATTGTTCCCCTACATAAAACTCTTTTCTTTCACAATTCCTTGTTGCCTACAAAATAAAGTCCAAATTCCTTCAAGTGGCATACAGAACTGCCCCTGTCTAGAATGGCCCCTACCTCCTCCTTCTTTGTGCTTTATGCTCTAGTGGAGAATTGCCAAACTGCTTGTACTTAGCCTTCATCAACAGTACTGCCGTATGCCTGTGTTTTGTGCTCATGCTGTCCCCCTGCCTGGTACACCTTTCCTACCCTCACCTGGCTAACTCTTATTCATCTTCTATGACTCAACTCCAGGCATCAATCCTTTCAAAAAGCCTTTCCTGTAACCTCATTTGGAGTTAAACTTACTCGTTTTATCTAACACTTGTGTAGTGCTTACTCTGTGTCAGGAATTATTCTAAGCACATTTAAATCTCACAACTCTATGAATAAGGTTTTGATATCTTGATTTTCAGATGAGGAAACTGAGGCACACAGAGGTTTAACTTGCCCACATTCACATAATTTGTAAGTGAAAAATCCACACTTCAGATCCAGGATGTCTGGTTTTGAAACTGCCTTTGCAAAAATTATAACAGTGAGAAAATTATGGCAATGGGGAGATCTGATCTGGCCAATCCCCATCTTACTTTTAGCCTTCAGGCTGCCCTTAATTATTCCTGGGCTTGGGCCAACGTAATTTTGGGAGATATTTAGTTTATAGTTAATTTTTGTTTTGAGACAAAGTCTTGCTCTGTCATCCAGGCTGGAGTGCAGCGGTGCAATCTCAGCTCACTTCAAACTTCGCATCCTAGGTGCAAGTGATTCTTGTGCCTCAGCCTCCTTAGTAGCTGGTACTAGAGGCATGCACCACCCCACCTGGCTAATTTTTGCATTTTTAGTAGAGATAGGGTTTTGCCATGTTGGCCAGGCTGGTCTGGAACTCCTGGCCTCAAGTGATCTGCCTGCCTCAGCCTCCCAAAGTGCTGGGATCACAGACATGTGCCACTATGCTGGACCTATAGTTTACATGATAGTAGCCCTGCCTCAAAACTCAACTGACTTTTATAAGCTAATGAGAGACCACCAGGTTAGGAGGATAGAGGAGCCTGAATCCTGCCAAAGTGTAGACATAAACAGTTGCCAACCATTATTCTGGAGGTCACCAGATATGCAACTTCCCCATTTACTCTTGCAGATAACATCACTATTGTAGAACCTAAGATTGGCTTTTTGAGCTATCATTTCAGGTTTTTCTCATGTCTGACAGACTGATGGCTCCACCTGAACCTGCCAGCCACTCCTGTGGCCTCAACCAAAAGTGACTCAGTGCATATGAGGACTGCTTCCCACACCCCTATGTTTGCATCCCCAACCAATCAACAGCAAGCACCCATTGCCTAGCCACCCCCACCCGTTCTCCTAAACTGTCTTTGAAAAACCCTAACCCCAAAATTATCAGGGAGACTGATTTAAGTGATGACTCCATCTCCTACATGGTATGGCTGGCCTCAGATCTACTAAATTCTATTTTAGGGGGAGAGAGCGGGGGAGAGGGTCTCACTCTGTCATCCAGGCTGAGTGCAGTGGTGCAATCATGGTTCACTGCAGCCTCAAACTTCCAAATTCAAGAGATCCTCCCATCTCAGTCTCCTGAGCTCCTGAGTAGCTGGGACCACAGGTATGTGCCACCTCACCCTGCTATTTTTTTTTTTTTTTAAAGATAAAGTCTCACTCTGTCGCCAGGCTGGAGTGCAGTGGCGCGATCTCGGCTCACTGCAACATCCGCCTCCCAGATTCAAGCAATTCTCCTACCTCAGCCTCCTGAGTAGCTGGGACTACAGGCATGCACCACCATGCCTGACTAATTTTTGTATTTTTGGTAGAGACGAGTTTTCACCATGTTGGCCAGGATGGTCTCAGTCTCTTGATCTCATGATCCACCTGCCTCGGCCTCCCAAAGTGCTGGGATTACAGGCATGAACCACTGCACCCAGCCTAATTTTTGTATTTTTTGTAGAGACAGGGTCTTGCCATGTTGCTAAGGCTGGTCTCCAACTCCTGGGCTCAAGTGATCTACCCACCTTGGCCTCCTGAAGTGCTGGGACTACAGGCATGAGCCATGTGCCCAGCCTAAACTCTTTCTCTTTTGCAATGCTGTGGTCTAGTTTTGTCTGTGCTGTGGGCAGAAGAACCCATCGGGCAGTTATAGCTTTGGAGTCTGTGCTCTTAATCCATATTCAGTGCTACTTCCCAAGGGCACATCCTCTGTATTCCTGCAGCATCCTAGGCATGCTTCTATCTTAGTATTTAGCATAGTAATTCAAAAATGTCTCATTGTGTGTGTGTCTGCTAGTCTACCATGAGGGTCTTAAAATGTATTAATATATGAGGCAGTATGGTATAGTGATTAAGATCATGGAGTTTGAAATTAGACAGAACTGGGGTTAAGTTCTATCTCTGCTATGTATTGGCTGTGAAACCTTAGACAGATTATTTAACCTTTCTCTCTCTCTCTCTCTCTCTCTCTCTCTTTCTTTCTTTCGAGACAGAGTCTTGCTCTGTTGCCCAGGCTGGAGTGCAGTGGCACGATGTTGGCTCACTGCAACTTCTGCCTCCCAGGTTCAAGTGATTCTCCCACCTCAGCCTCCCGAGTAGCTGAGACTACAGGTGTGCACCACCACACCCAGCATTTTTTTGTATTTTTAGTAGAGACAGGGTTTTACCATGTTGACCAGGCTGGTCTTAAACTCCTGGCCTCAGGTGATCCACCTGCCTTAGCCTCCCAAAGCGCTGGGATTGCAGGCATGTGCCACTGCACCTGGCCAAATTATTTAACCTTTCTATGACTTGCTTTTTTCACCTGTAAAGTGGTATCTCCTCACTCCTAGCCAGTGCTTTTCCCTAGAGGTGAACATTTCCAATCTCTCTATTTCTGAGCCCTTCATGGTTTGTTTCTGACCATCTGGACAGAAAAAGGGAGGACAATCCCAGCCTTGTCCTAAGCATAAGACCACTAGCATCGACCCTAGTTTATATCCTCTTTCTCACTCTGGAACCCCCTACGGATCCTTCATGATCTGGCTAGAGACCATATAAAGTGGGGCTAAGAATACCTCACAGGGTAATGGAAAGAATGAAATGAGATGATGTATCTAAAGCACCTGGCAGAGGGTCTTACATAGTAAGAAACTCTGAGTAATGCCTGACACTTATAACTTGTTATTAATAGCTCTGCATCGCCAGCAACCAGCACAGTGCCTGGACAATAGACACTTGAGAACTATTTGTTGAACTGAACTATTTTGGAAAACTTTAGGCTGGCATAGATATCTGAAGTATATCTTAGTATATATGACTTAAGAAATGAT